CCTGCTGAAGATGGGACAGATCAATCTAGAAACTCCCTGTGCCACTAGAGGTTGCTGTTAGATGACTTAAGCATAACCCAGGCCAAAAGCTATCTCTGTCCTTGCTGGAAACACACAATATGGGCAATGGCTTAATACAGAACAGGGTGTCATAGTCTTGCTGGGCTTGGCTTTGCTGTCACAAGTTTGTTTATGATTCAGTGAGGCTGTGATGGCAACTTCTGTGTCTGTAATATGTCTCAAGTGCTCACAAGAAGCTCCTTGCTGCTCTGGAAAAGCAGTTTGGAAAACTTCATGCACTTCCTTATGATAAACTGGTCTTAACTATGTTATCAGTTTCTTTGTCACAGTCAAACTGTGGATTTCCACGCTCAAATCTATTCTAAACAGAGGCTTACTTTTCTGTTTGTTTTCTAACACTGCAGACTTCCCACAGCTATGGGCTGGACTCTTATTTGCACTTTAGCTGTAATAACAGCTGATAAGCTTGAGTTACAATTGTCTTTTGCTAGTGAAAAATGACCTGCTCTTACTGGGATGCTGGAAAAAGTTTATCAAAGATGAGCCCTCTTTGAGAAATTGCATTTTATTTAAGAGCTTGCCACAGAATTTCACCAGCAAAGTTAATGCTCTTTAAAAGTATGGATGAAGGCTGAAAGATAAGAAATGGGCTCTGTGCCTTTTGACTGAGCTACCAGTTAAGTTAATGTTTTCTACGGTAACTCTTGTCTTCAAAACAGCTATCCTGGTTCCACCTATGTAGTGCTGTTCATGCTACTGTTTCATAGCAATTAAACACACTAGGAAGGGGAAACAATATAGGCTGGGGTTATCTTCTTTTTTTTTTTTTTAAAAAACTGGGACATGTTTTGGTGTGGGATTTTTTTGGAAGGGGGTTATTGCTTGAAGTTATTTTGCCTTGTTGTGGACTCTGTCTCTTCTAATTGTTTGATGTTCCCCACTCTATTTTGAGGCAGAGTACGGGCTCTCTGCTGCTACGTACTAGTAGATCATATCGAACTCCTGATTCTGGCTCTGACCTTGAAGCTGGGTGTGAGGAAACCTAACTAGTCTGTCACTCTTAAGGTTGTTTATCAATAATTGCCACTTCTCTTACACAAATTGTTCTTGATATTGTAAATACAGGGACTGACTGTGGTATTACACAGTCCGTGCAGCAGTGTTATTGACAGGCTCTGGTGCAGTTGGTGCCCTTGGGACTGCAATGAGGATCACAGCAGTTGGAGCCCCATCTCTGCCCTGCTGCTGGTCAGGGTGTCCTACCCGGCAAGTCCAACGAATGCCTCGCCTGGGTTACCCACCAGCAGTGCCTGGGTGAGGTCTGTGTTGAACACCCAGCACCTTGGGAAGCACAATACAACCACGCTGCTTACTACGGACTTCAGCAAGCACCGTGGCAGATCTGCAGTGGATGCTGCTTATGTTTTTGTGGGGTTTTTTTACTTTCACAAAGAAAATTGCCCAGTTTCCTTACTAAACCCAGGGGAGCTGGGCTGCCTGACCACTGCTCGCCCACCAAGAAA